TTGAGTTCTAGAGAATTTTATAATGATGTCTTTGGTGTATACGCAAAATATATTACTGAGGTAGACTATTAAAGGCTGGATTATGTAACCTAATAACAAGTTTATTATTAAATATTATAATTGGATCATCTGGTTATAATATCTTAATTAATAATTGAGGCTTATTCTAGTGTTAATGTTTGATAATATTTTGGTTATGAAATGATCCTACCTATGAACACCGGGACAGAAGCCGTTGAAACGGGAATCAAACTTGCCCGCAAATGGGGTTACATTAAAAAGAAAATTCTGAAAAATAAAGAAATTATAATTTCCTGTTCAAATAATTTTCACAGTCGAACAGCAATGGCTATTTCAATGTCAACTAATCCAGTTATCTGTAAAGACTTTGGACCGTATATGCCATGTGTTGGACCAATATGCCCATATACCGGACGAATAATAGAATATAATTCTGTTGATGATTTGGAGGCTACATTGAAGATTCACGGTTCTCTTGTGGCAGGTTTTTTGGTGGAGCCTATCCAAGGAGATGCTGGGTATTTAAGTTTGCTTTTCTTCGCAAGTAAATCAATTATTGAAATCTTTTAACATTTCATACATCTTTGTTAGTATAATTGTACCCAATGATGGATACTTAAAAAAATGTTATGATCTTTGTAAGAAGTATAATGTCTTAGTAATTGTCGATAAAATACAAACTGGCGTTGAGCATACCGGCAAGATGCTTTGTCAAGAATATGATGGAATTCGAGCAGATATTATTTTACTAGAAAAGGCTCTCTCTGGTGGTTTTTATCCGGTTTCTGCGGTTCTCGCTGACCAAGAAATTATGCTATGCATTCAGCCTGGTGAGTATAGTTCTACCTATGGTGGTAACCCGTTAGGTTCTGCGGTTGTGATCGCCGCTTTAGAAGTGATCAAAGAAGAAAATTTGGTCGAGAGGGCTGCAGTGTTAGGCGAGAAATTTCGCGAAGCTCTTTGTGAAATAAAGTCTCCACTTATTTCTCAGGTGAGGGGGCGCAGTTTGTTAAATGCAATCGTTATTAATGAATCTAAGTTTGGCAAGATGGCATGGCAACTGTGCATATTACTCAAGTCACGAGGCTTGATTGCGAAACCCACGCATGTTAATACTATCCATCTTGCACCACCGTTGAATATCACAGAGAAAGAATTGATGGAAAGTATTAATATTATTAAAGAGGCTTTGGAAGATATCGTTAATATGGAAGCTGAAGATATTCCTGGATATTTAGAAGATTTAAATCTACATAATTATTCATAAAATTATTTTTTTAAAACATATGATTATAACTTGCGATGCACAAAATTGTTTGTGAGTCTCACATTTAATAATTAAATATATTTGGCCATATCTTTGAAATTTTTGTATACTAAGTATTTTTTTCTGTAACGTTTATAAACTTCAAAGATCTATAATTTTATGGCAAAACTACTTTTATGGAACAAATTAATAAACAGTCTTATAAATATTTTGTAAAATTAGTGTGGAGGATTATGCTGAAATTTGGATCATGCTGAAATGTTATATAAGCTATATGAAAAATATTTAATTAAAAATAAAACCTCCTAACCCTAACCCTAAAAAAAATTGTGCTGTATATTTTACGGAAATGGACAAAATTTAAAAAACTTCATATTTACTAATATAAAATTTTTTATAATTCGGCCGAAATTTCAGCATAATCCACCACAATTACAAATAAAATATATATTTGTTGCAAATTAAGCAATCTTAATAACTAGTGAATTTCAATAGGCTTCAATAGGTATCTAGATGTTTGCTACCATATTTTTAAATGACAATATAGTTTCGATTATTTCGTTTTTATATGTTTAAACGTCCCCTGTGCGAAAACTTATTGTTGGGGAAATTATATGAATTCCGCCTGTAGACTCATCAAAGGTCTTGAATGTAGTATAAGGTGGACTAAAGATGTTAAGTCGTTTAGTCTGAACTAGTTTGACTGAGTTCAAAACTCAGACCGTTATGGTCAAGTTTGAACCAGCGAATTATAATGAACGTTCAAGAATTGATAAGTTCTAATAATAGCGATACTGACAATGAACCTGAATCCACAAGACCGGTAAAAAAGAGCAGACCATGTCATCCAGTTTGGAGTTATTTTTCATGGAATGCAAATAATACGAATATTATTTGCAATATATGTCAACAACTCTATAGCCCTGGTACAGGTGTTAGCACAATTAAAGAACACTTTACCAAAAATCACAAAACCGAATGGGAACAAATTGAACAACAATTGATACTTCCTCATAAATCAACTGAGGTATATAGTATAAAAAAAGATCCAAAGAAAATTGCGCTTATTAATGCTATACTTATAAGATGGATTATATGTGATCAACAGCCATTTTCCATCGTCGAAAATGATGAATTCAATCTTCTAATTAAAATGCTTAACCCCTGGTACAAGTTACCAAGTCGACAAACTATCTCACTTAAAATACAAGAGTTTTATGAAAAACAACGTAAAATGTTTAAAAGTTATTTTAAAAATCATGATAGTAAAGTAGCACTTACCACTGATATATGGACTTCATGCACAAATCAAGCCTATATGTCAATAACTCTCCATTGGATTAGTAATGAGTGGAAAATGTATCGTATATTATTAGACTTAATACCTCTTCATGAAAGACATACAGGAATTATACTAGCAAATACTATTTATGATGTTATTAATGATTTTGATCTTGGAGAAAAAATTATATCAGTAACCACAGATAACGCTTCAAATATGGATGTGTTTGGACGTGAATTGGCACGTTTGCTTTTAGATAATCATGGAAATAAATTATTTCGTCGTGTTAGGTGTGCAGCACATGTTTTAAACTTAATAGTAAAAGATGGTCTTGATGTAGCTGGATCTTCAATTAAAAAAGTTAAAGAATTTACATCTGCTATACGTTCATCTCAAGTTCTTTTTGAAGAATTAAAAAAAATATTTGAAATGAAACAACGTACTTTTTTAGTACCTGAAATTGATATTTGCACTCGATGGAATTCTACGTATATAATGATAGAAAAATTGCATAGAATTCGTGATATTTACTGATATTTTAGTTGCATCGAATCCATCACTTGTAAATATCTATCCTACTGATACTGATTGGCAAGAGCTTGATGTTAGTATGTATAAATGCTTGTTAATAATAATAATAATAATAATAATAATAATAAATGTTTACTTCCTTTAGATGCTTGTAATATTACTTGAACCGATTTATCATGCGACAAACCTTTTATCTTCATCAAGCTATCCAACACTTGGAGATCTTCGTATAGTGTTTCCTATTATTGCAAATACTATTAATAATATTCAGAATAATAATAATATGTTACAACAAGTTGCACAAAAAATGAAAAAAAAATTAGATAAATATTGGGACGAGCTTAAAACTACTTTTAATGAAGCTGTAATTCTTGATCCAAATAACAAGCTAATGCCATTTAATAATGAAGAGGAAAGGTATGAAGCACGATATGCTATTTATACAACTTATGAAACAAATTATGCAATCAGAAGCAGTGGTATTTCAATAACAGAACCGTCTGAATCAGAAACTTCTCGTGGTTATTTTCGAAAGAAATATGGTGTATCTATAAATCATGATGATATTCTTAAAGAATATCTTGATTTACCTGTTGAAGAAATTAATATTCTTGATTACTGGAAAGCTAAATCTAAAAATTCTCAATGGATTCAACTTGCTTGTATGGCACGTAATTACTTAGTAGTTCAAACAACAAGTGTAGCAAGCGAACAAATGTTCAGTATAGCCAAATTTATTATTAGTCCAACTAGAAATCGTATTGAGCCAGAAAAGGCCTGTGCTTCTCTCTGTCTTAAAACTTGGTTTGCAACAGGCTTAATAGAATATGTAGAAGAAAATTAAAGCAATACTAAAAAAAATAAATAAACTATAATAAAAAAAGTGTGTAGTTATTTTTGCTTTCGAGGTATTGAAAAAGATTATCAATTTAAATTCGTGTAACAAACTATTAAAAACTAGTTAGATTCAGTTTATGTAGTGCACTGCCAGTTCAGAACTGAAACAGTCTATTTTAACTGGTTTAACATCCCTAAGGTGGACTGTAAAGATGGAGGGATACAGCACGTTCTGTTTTAGATGGATTGAA